GGCCAGAAACGAGGAAGAACCGTCAGGTCTTCGCTGTTGCGTCCTTTTTCCAGGAAATCCCTTGTGAGCAAGGGTGTGAGACCGCTTGCTTCAATCAACGGAGTACGAACTGCATGTGGCGCCTTAAGGATGCACTGTAGCAATGGGTCTTGCTTGCTACCTCCCGGATGGTGGGCAACTCGGTATCCAAAGATGACCGCAGAACTGTCAAGCTTGGGGACAATGTCACCAAGGAGTCCCTTGAACGATGCAATGGGATTTTCCTTGTATTTGTCGAGTTCTGCCTTGGGAACCAATCTGCTGTCGATCTCGAGGACGATTTCGCAAACCGCTCCAGTTGTAAGCTTGGCGATCGGTGTTGGGAGCTTGTACTGGATCGAGCCTCGAACGATGTACATCATGACAAGGCGTTTGTAGGAGATCTTTGCAGAAGCGTCGTCGACTGATACCTCGAACGGTCCTTCGATCTTGCTGTTTGGCTGAGCAAGTGGAACATTGTCATTGGCAGGCATAAGAATCGCCAGATCATTGGTGCCCGCACTCTTGATGATCTCCTGGACATGCGCCTTGGTGGCGAAGACAATGCCCCCACGAGCACCTCCAATTTGGAGGCGGTGGTTTTGGGGGAGTGGAGCCCCATCTGTACCGGTGAAGGGAATGGGATCCCGCATCAGCAAATCTTCCCATCTGCACTGAGCTGGTCTCGGCGTAGCTTTGAGCCATGGGTCAGACTTCAGCCATGGGTCTTTGCTGTCAACTGATGACCCCGAGGAGGACTTGGGTGCAGCTTTTGCTTTGGCTGGATCATCAGGTTGCATGGACACATCATCTGCGTCGTTGGCGCCTGCAGAAATGGTTTCAATTGGAAATCGGTTCTCTGCAACTCGGACGAGAAACCATTGTCTCAGATTGGCTGCAAAGTCGATCAAGTGCGGATCTGCGGCAGCGGCTGTCCAGACAGCTCTTGCATCATAATGGGCTCGGTCAAAGTCGGCCGCAAGCGGGTGGAAGCTCAATTGTCGCCTCTGTGGTGGTTGCAGCTGAATGGTGTTGGCGGCAAGCCTGTGGTAGATGTTGGCAACAAGTTGGTATCCACACATATGTGGAGGGCTGACTTGGTCATAGAAATGAATCGAAACCTGAGTGGTCCGAGCTCCTGAGGCAGTGATCAAATGATCGACAAGCGGCTGCAACAAAATGTGACTGTCTGCAGAGAAGGTAAATGCAAAATTGGACGCATCCTCATGCAAATATGCTTCGGCCTGAACCCAGTGCCCATTGACTTCGATGATCCAGATCACTTGGTTGAAAGCACGGTAATCAGGCACGTAGTCGTTGAGAAAATGCAGCGAAGAGGCACCAACATTCCACGAAGCCGGTGGACAAAACAATGTCTGTGGATTCATGGCCCGTGGCCCCTCGAGAGCAATGTCTAACTCATCAGAGGACATCCATCCCGGGTGTTGCAAAATCTCTTGAAGTCGACTGCGAATACGATCCAGGATGACTGGCGTTCGGTCAACTTGCAACCTGAGGGGGGCAAATGGGATCTGTGGCAGAGTAGCCGACGCCTGAGGCTGTGGCACAGGCGGTGGACATGCCGTGTGAAGAGCAATCTGCTGATGAGGTCTTCCTTGATGTTCCCGTCTTGCCAAGAAACACAAGAAATTCTTGCGAAGCGTGAGAAGGCCAGCTGTCCGATCTCAATGGGGATCTGTGCCAAAGCCCAGTCTTCACAGGAACATTGCATCGCCAGCTGAATCAAGTCATTGTACTCTCCGGTGAGTGGAAAGTGGTTTGAAACATCCGCAATGCCTTGGTGAATTCCATGTCTGCGATACCAGCGGAAGATGAGGAGCCACCCACAAATATGAGGCGGAGCATCATTCTGTTCAGCTCGCACTTGAAACCTGTGTGGTGCAATATCCAAAAGTCGGGCGACCAGGAAAGTCAAAGCTGTCTGAACATTGGCTGGCACCTGGATGAATGTAACCAGTGTATCTGTGCTGTTCCTGAAAATTTCAATGCCAGCCCAATGGCTGCCGATCAACACTGGAATCGCTGTGGTTGTATTGTTCAAGATCTGCAGTTCTCCAAACAGTGGCTCTTCAAAGTCTCCCTTGGAAACGTCCCAAAGTTGTGGGGTCCCAAAACGGAGCCAGTTTTGCTGCCATTGCAAGGCCTGAGTGTAATGGAAGGCCTCATCAGTCGCCATCCAGCCGTGAGTATCACACAGAAATTCAACTCTTGCAGTGAAGTCAGCAAGTGCCGGGAGTGAAGGCGGAGCTGCCATATTGAGGTGGTGACCACCAGCTTTGACAACAGTCGCTTTGCACATGTCAAGGATATCACCATGACTCAAGCATGTCACATCGTGGCCAATGAGGGAGCCATTGACAGCGAAGAGTTGCAGGTGAGTGTTGATGCACTGCAGTTCGCTCACAATCTGTTGCACCTGTGAAGGCAATCGAGCTCCAGCAACAAATTGATCACCAAAGCGCAGGATAACCTCGACTGTCGGCTGCTCATGCTGTGTGATCGGATCTGATAGCAAAAGGTAGGCCTTGGATTCCCCAGGAACATGCAGAAGTCTTTTGTTGCGACTCTTGAAGATCGGGAGGTCGGAAACCCGCTGAAGCGCCGCAGTGCGATCACCATTTGACACCACAGTTGTCAAAGAAATATTCTCTGGTAGAACAACGACCGATGCTGAGCCCAGCTGTGCACATCCGTCGTCTTGCAGTGTTTCGACGACATTCTGGATCGCCCAAAAAATGGGAGATGTCGTTTGTGTGTCGAGGTCCTGGATGGCGAAGGGAATAGCTTCCGCGTGGCACTTTTTCTCGGATGAGTCATCGATGACCTTAGTTCGGGCCGTCGGGCATGGCTTGGTGCAAATTTCACAGGCGCCAAAGTTGGCATTTCCAATTACAAGTCGAAACGAATGCTCCTGGGCGGCAATCTGTTCGAAAGTGGAGGAGTGTAAGATCTTGATGTCTTCATTGCGTCCACTCACCTGATTGAGAAGGCCAATCGGAGCTTTGACATGTAGTCTAAATGCTTCTCGAAGTGTCTGCTTCGGCTTGATCCTGAAAGCGAAAGGTCTTCCTGCACATGTGCCTACCAAAGTCCACGAGTGATCATGCAGGTCAAGGGACGAAAGCTGGGACAGTTCGGCCCATTCCCAAAAATCACGAACTGGGATGATGTGGACAAACCCACGGTCAGGAAAGACGACAGCATTATGGGCTGTAAGGCGATCACTCCAAGCCTGACGCACAAGACCGATCGGATCGACATTACAGGCACTCGTGGCATGCAGGACAATCGACAAAGCCAAAACTCCATGTGGGACAGTGATGGCGTTGCCAACGAACAGGAAGGATTCTCCGATCTTCTCAGACAGTGAAATGGACTCGGTCGCCCCAAACAGAGAGCAGTACATAGCAGGGTCAAAGAACGAGAAACCTGCAGGAGTTTCATTCAGGCAAGCGAATATTCCCTTCTGTGCAAGGTGTGATTCAGCCAATTGGTGCTGGCGTGTGTACGAAGCGCATAAGGTGGGCAACACATCTGCCGTTCCAGGAACTCGTGAGCGAATGATCTCGTTGCCCGCCAGGGTCTTGTTCTCATACCTGGGCCGTTTGGCGGGCGGAAGGAAATGCACAGAATCATAAATGGCACACTCTGATGGGGAGAGTCTCAATTGGGAGACCCAGCGTTCAGGCAGCACATACTGATATGCTTGGTCCGTCCAGTGTGAGCGAGGCATGACCGGCATTTTAAGCTGGAAGGGTAGCATCTGTGTGGCAGCGTCTGCACGAATCCAAACCCCCAGCCATCTTGAGCGTGCATGTGAAGACAAAGGATGAAAAGGAGTCACTTGGTCCCATGCAAGCTTGTAGCCTAGGGCATGTGCCAGGCTCTTGACAATCTTAAAATGGGGGTGCGTGACGATATCGTCAGCACACTCTGCTGCGATAGCCACCATCTGCAGCGAGAAAGCCAAGGAAAGCGCCTCCAAAAAGGCAAATCCATTCTGGTCCTGAAGCCCTCCTCGCCTCCCCCCCTTGCTCCAACTTTGACAAGGGGGGAGATTGTGCCAAGGAGGTTAACCTGAGTCCTGCAGAGCTCGATGATTGAGGAGTCGGAGATGCTCCCACAAAAACCCAGGGTCTTCACTGGAGACCACGTGGTCTCTTTGTCCCTTGACAGGCAGCGAAAGCTAGTGCGAAACTTTGTTGACCAAACTTCCATGACTCTAGGGTCGTGGTCGATAAAAATCTCCTGCCCGACGCAGATGGTCTGCGATTTTGCATCTAGCCAGCTGAGGGCCTGATGCCATCCTCCAAAGGCGCCACAAAATAAGTGGATAGTGTCCCATGGCATGGAAAGCACTACTTCAGGTCGGAAGCACAGCCTTGCATTGGACAGAGTGACAATGTCGGTCAAACATCGTTCGCCAGTGCAGACCACTTGAATCCCTGGTGTCAAGTGCATATTGCGTGCACACACATCATCCATGTACACATATAAGGAGGTCTTGTTCTTGGGGGAGGTGAACCCACAGCCCGGAATGAACCAAAGGGCCTCAATCTCTAGCCAATCATTGCTGTAGGAAGACACATTCCCCGCCAAGACCGTGCGGGCTCCCACCGTCGGATCCCACCGTCGGAGTGAACCCCGGCACGAGGCCCGAAAACAAGCTTCGGATGTCCTTTCTCACCAGATCCTGGTCCAGCACGCTCAAAAGGAGGTCCAGCTCATCCATGGCTCCGGTACACAGTCGGATCTCGTGAGCGTGTTGCCACAAGAAAGGGCTGACCCACGTGTGGCGTGGGTCTAATAGACACCACCTCCGGTCCTCGCGGACCGGCGAGTGGCCACTGGTGGCCCGCCACCTCAGCCTTCGAGCTTTGAGCCCCGTGGCTTGTTACTACTAGTAACAAGAGGACGCTACTATTTTACACGAAAAAAAAAATGCATTCTGAGATTCGAACGGGTTTCGAATCTGTGAAGCGAAAAAGCCTCTCCAAAGTGCGGGCACAAGCGGGCACAAGCAAAATGCAACATGAAATTTGAACGAAATCTGGTGTTTGGTATGTCCATTCATATTGCCTAGCGTGTCATGTTCAAACCAATCATTGAAACATGCAACCGTTCCAGAACACTTCGATCCATTGTTGTGCATCGTTCTACAACGCTGGAGGAAGTGCCCACTTGGCAGGGCGACAAATGGTTGGAGGGAGGGCATGGCATGCCTTTTATCATTCCCATTTCTGATCATAGAGTGGTGATTTGTTGAGTTTCCCAAAAAAACTAGGGAGAGGCCATTGCTATTAGGTTGGAGGCCATTGCTATTAGGTTGGAGGCTATGCGACACATTGTGGGGGCTTGCATCTTCGTTTTCTTCTGATTCTGAGTTCTCCGGTCTAAACCAAAACTAAGGGGGTGACGATCAGTGAGCAACCAAGCTCAGCACTTATGACATAGCTGCGCAACACTAGCAGCTGGAGTTTTTTCAAAATACTGACTCACCACTAGGCTGGCTGCTGTATCGCAAAGCTCACCTTCGCTTACTACTTGACTCGTGAGCAAGCCAATACTTGTTGAGCTAGCAGCTAGAATATTCAGCTCAAAGCTTGACCACCTCACCACTGGGGGACGTTTAGCCTTCTTATGCGTTTTTGCTGCACACGCGTGAGAAGGAAACTGTCTGACTTCATCGATTAGAGGTATAAGCGCAAGCAGCACAAGCAGCACAAGCAGCACAAGCAGCGAGCTTGCGCGGCTCACTGCTGGTGCTTGTCACGGCTGGTGAAGAGGTCTTTTGAAGTGGTCGAAGCTTGGTTACAAAGCACAAGTTACACCTAGTAGCGTCCTACTAGCGCCCTTAGTAGCGATGCCCTTTGCTCCTAGTAGCGTTCTTGCCCCTAGTAGTAAGGCCAGGAGCCCCGAACGTAGCTTCTTGTTACAAGTTACACAGCTACGCACATTCTTCGCTCTCGTGGCCACATTCAGCTACAAACATGATGCTTCTTCTGGGTCTTGCACTTGGAGATTCCAAGAACGCCCTCTCTCTCGCTCTTTTGCAACGCCGTTTCACCAGAGGGGCATCTTGGTTTCCTGAACTAGTAGTAACAAGAAGCTAGTAGTAACAGGTGCCACGCTACTAGTAACAAGTGCCACGCTACTATTAACAGGTGCCTAGTCACAATGCAAACAGCGCACCAGTCAGCATCATCCAGGGATGAAGATGCCTGCAAGTAATCGTGAGGTGTCTTGGCAAAAAAGGATGGAACAAAAAGAGTGAAGGAAAACAAAAGGTCTAGAGTCTAGAGTCTAAAAAAATCTAGGAGCCAAATCAATAAATCAATCATGCAAAAAAAATGAGCATTTCTGCGTACAGTCCCTGGGAACTGTTTCACTACTACTAGGTTACCTCCCAACAGCCTATCCCCCTCAAAAAGAGACAGGGCAAACCTTTTATCTGGCCTTTGATTTCACGGTCGTATGTTGATCGCCAGAGTGCATCTGAAAAAGATGTTCCTGGTTGCAGTACAAATCACTTCACAAATCAACTAGTAGTAACAGGTGCCACGCTAGTAGTAACAGGTGCCTTACTTAGTAACAAGAAGCTAGTAGAAACAAGTGCATCGCTACTAGTAACAAGTGCCTTACTAGTAGTAACAAGAAGCTAGTAGAAACAAGTGCCTTCACAAATCAAGCGGTACAAATCACTTCGCAGTGAAACACAATGCAAGACGTTTGCGTTTCGCTGTTGTCAGCGTGTGAAACCTACACAACGTCCCGAGGTCCTCAAGGATTCGGCGCATAATGGTCTGTTGGCGAGTCTTCTTGTAGGCATTGTTCCCCTTTCGCGCTAAACATGAGCATTTCTTCACAAGGGTATTGTTGATGCCGCATTGTTTCTATTAGGTTGGAGGCCATCGCTACTAAGTTGGAGGCCATCGCTATTTGTTCAGACAGCATTGTCATGGTTTCTTCTTTTTGCTTTAAAGAGTGCATAAGCACCTCAGGCGTAAAGAATATTGAAAAGTGAAGAGTCTGGCTGGAATCCACCTGAGTGCAATGCATTTGGAAGAGACAAGTCAACTCTTGGACTGACAACCAACATCTTCTAAAGGTAGCCAAAGGGAGGAAAGATAGAAAAAAAACTGAAAGGTCTCAAAGTTCCCCAAAGCAACTAGGACCCAGATTAATCAATTAATCATGCTAGGGTTCTGCAAGGCAGCTCCCCGTGCCGCTACTAGCTTCCCCTCTTACGACTTAGATACTTGTAAGCTACCCCCCTGCTGCCTACCACCAAGCTACTAGGAACAAGTGCATCGCTCCTAGTAACAAGTGCCTTACTAGTAGTAACAAGAAGCTAGTAGAAACAATAAGCTACTTGTTACTAATAGTTTCTTGTTACTACTAGTAAGGCACTTGTTACTACTAGCGTGGCACCTGTTACTAGTAGTAACAAGAAGCTAATGCTTAAGTTTCCCTAAAAAACTAGGAACCAAGTCATTAGTGTGAGCGCTCCTTGAAGAAGCGTGAGCTATCCTGCGTCCATATGTAGGAGCTCACTCACTTAATTAAGTAGGACCCTACGTACTTTCAAGTAGCAAGGGGGGCTAAAAACAAAAGGCACAAGAGGACGCTACTAGGAGCAAAGGGCATCGCTACTAGTAGTAAGGCACTTGTTCCTAATAGCTTTTTGTTACTACTAGTAAGGCACCTGTTACTACTAGCGTGGCACTTGTTCCTAGTAGCAAAAAAAACTCTGAGGTCATGACAGAGTGGATCATCAAGCCATACACCATGGCGCATCGGAAAGCGGAGCGGGTCGCCCAAGACCGTCGCAGAATCAGTCTATCGACAGAATCGTGCATGCTGCAGTCTTGCTCAAACTGAAGTCTGCATTTCATCTGCCAAGCAGTTCCAGTTCCGTTGACAGCGGTGGATTATGTACAGGATGTCATCTCAAATAGCAAGCACATGTGCATCATGAGCCATTCGCGTTGCGAGGGTAAAGCATCAAGTTTCCAAGACATCTACAGTAGAAACCTAAGAGCCTAAGAGATGCACTTGTTCCTAGTAGCTTATTGTTTCTAATAGTTTCTTGTTACTACTAGTAATGCACTTGTTACTAGTAGCGATGCACTTGTTCCTAAGAGTTCTTCAAGCAAGATTCGCCCTCAAGTGGGGGGAGCTTCATTGAAGAAGCCTGATACTGAGCTCGTTAGCGCCCTGAAGAGCTAGTAACTAACTTCGTGACTGGCTTCTTATCTCTCTCTTCACCCCCGAAGATATTTTGTATCTTCTTGTTGTCTATTCGTTGTATTTATTTGATTCGATTGCTTTTAAGCAGCTAGTCCTTTTTTATCCTTCCTGCTGCCTGCTTATCTCCCTCTTCATGGCCCTTCATAGCCCAAAAACATCCGAATGCAGTGGCTGCACGCTTCGCTTCGCTATTCTTCGCTTGCGCTTTCGCTTGGCCTCATTCACCTTCGACTCAATTCGCTTCCGGTCTCGGAGGATAGCTCTGCGCTTCATGTCCTGCCGTTCTCAGAGGAAGCATTCGGAAGCGTTAAGGCCGTGATCCTGCCTAACTAACGAGAGGTAGGTGCCTTCCTAACTAAGTAAGGAGTCAACACGCGACCAGCCGCCGGACGCGGAATAGCTCCAGCTTCTCATGTGGTTCCTAGATGTTTAGGACAAATGTGCCAAACTGCGCTTTTGGGTCGGCTGGACTTCTTCTTCGCTCCTCTCCAATCCTTTGCAAATGAGCCTGGAGAAACAAATCAGACTGACCTGAAAGAAGGGTTTTGTGCCTGTGTAGGAGGAAATGCCAAAACTCAAGGCATGGTGTTTGCGTATCAAATCAATGGACACCCAAAGAAAACCTAGCAAAGTCTGCAGGATGTGCAGGGCTCCCATACCGTACGGTGCCATTCACGAGGACCCAAAAGACTTGCAGGTCACACGTCATACGTTGACACCACATAGCCACAGTGTGAGTTTTCTAGAGAACTATTGTACAATCTATTGTAGCTTGTATTGCTCGAGTTACATTTCGTTGAATACACAAAGAACACTGAATGCCATACTGTTTCATGCTCCCTATCTATTCTCCAAAAATCCGTAGAGAAGCTTAGGAGCTCCGTATTGTCCTTCAGGCCATAGGATCTGCACAAGTGCGATCTTATCGTGATCCTATTAATTAGTAACAAGGACGCTACTAGGGGCTCCTGGCCATACTAGTAGGAACAAGAAGCTACTAGGAGCAAAGGGCATCGCTACTAGTAACAGTAACAAGGGCATTACTACTATTAGTGACAAGAATGAGTTGCACCATGTCCCCCTTCCGCACAGTTTGTTGTTAGGTTGGAGGCCATCGCTATCAGGTGGGAGGTCATCGCTATTAGGATGGAGGCCATTGCCATTAGGTTGGAGGACATCGCTTCTAGGTTGCAGGCCATTGCTACTAGGTTGGAGGCCATTGCTACTAGGTTGGAGGCCATCGCTTCTAGGTTCAAGGCCATAGCTATTAGGGTCGAGGCCATTGCTAGTAGGTTGGAGGCCATTGCTAGTAGGTTTCTCTGTAAGATAGAGTCATTGAGGCGGCTTCGTACGGCCTGCTTCCTTTCTTGTCTTCTCTCTCGCTCAAGCTTGTAGAGTTCTTCCTGCAGAATCAGAATCCATGGCTAAAACAAAAACACAACATGGTTTAAAATGGAATAAGTTCTGCCGCATGCCAGTGCCAGCTCCGACCTCTTTTGCTCTTTCAATCTCGGTGACCTGGCACTGAAAGGGGCAAGGCGCGCTTTCAAAAGGAGCATAGATAGTCATGGTATGTCATGGTTACGAAGAGCGATGGCCACCAACCTAAGAGCAGTGGCCTCCAACCTAAGAGCGATGGCCTCCAACCCAATCCAAAAAGGAGTCATAGTTACTCATCGTGCAACAATGAGCAAAAGGAGTCATAGTTAGTCGTTTTACTCACCGACTAAGACACCTTCTTAGCAGCCTTGTTTTAGCTAGTACTGGATCATAGCAGGTTGGACGAATCTCGTTGTGCCTCGGCAAGCTTTTGCAAATACTGAGCTCGATAGATGCGACGAATCTCTCGAAGCTGCCTGCAAAGACCAGAGCGATCAAACGCAAGCAAATGGTGTTCGCTATTGCTAGCATTGTGTTTGTTGGGGCCGCGTAGGAGGTGGTAGCTAAGAAGCTAGTGAGAAGTAAGGAGGAGTCCTTGGAAGCTACTAGTATGGACGCCGGGCATCGCTACGAACGCACCAAGGACGCCGCTACAGGGGCTCCTGGCCTTACTACTAGGAACAAGAAACTATTAGCTTATTGTTTCTAATAGCTTCTTGTTACTACTAGTAAGGCACTTGTTACTAGTAGCGATGCACTTGTTACTAATAGCTTCTTGTTACTACTAGTAAGGCACTTGTTATTAGTAGCGATGCACTTGTTACTACTAGTAACCATCACTCTCTGCGGACTGTCATCGGGAAACGATGTCCGCGTTGTGCAAGACACCCTGATCTTTGCACAGAAAAGGTGAACCAAAAGCAACCCCACATGCAACACCATCCATCAACGCAGAGGCAACTTCCACGACTCCAAAGTGCGGCCGGCACCACAATGGAAAAGCTGCGCAATCACGACTCTCTCAGCATCTGTCACGTAAGGTATCGCTCCTTGAATAGAGCCTTGTGGAAGAACACGCCCGCAGCACCGGGGTTTTGTCGTATGAAACGTCCGCGGGTGGGTGCTTGCCGACTCGTCGACATTCAGCAGGGAGATGGCTTCACGCACTAACCGGTAGATGTCAAAGTACGTGACTTCTTCATGACTGAAGTGCAGCTGAAATTCACGCTCATGGAAGAGGACTGCAAGTTCATTAAAAGAAAAATCCTGCTGGCAGTCAACTCTCCACAACAAGCTTCGCAAAAAGCTGCAGCGTGTGACCCAATTCTGAGCGGAGGTAGACCAACGCTTCGGGCAGGGAATCCCAATAGGGATTTTTGGCTTCCATGTGAACTGGGAAGCAGGGAGGCTCCACAACCATTGTGGGAAGCGAGCCCGGCAAGCCTTCTCATCAGGCATCTCATTGACCTCGTCAGTCTTGGGAACAGCAGCTCGGTCAGGTTGTTCCGTTGGCAGTAGGGTGTGCAGGTCGACCAACCACTGCTGGTGTGCTGTAATCGCTCGCCCAACTTTGCTTTGAACACTGCTGTAGACAGGCGCAGTTCGATTCGCAAGTTCACGAGCGGCAGCATCAACTAACCTGTTGTGATGTATATGCTCAACAGTCGTCTTTTTGAGGGCTGCGAGATCTTCCGACAAGAGCTCGATAGGAATATTCTCAAAACAATGGGCCGGGATCCAGTGCACTCGAAATGGGCAGGGAGTCACCGCCTGCCTCAATCGGACAACATGGGCCAGAAAGGTCCACCAAGAGAAAAATTTCCACTGTCGTGACGGTTGTTCACCCTGGAAAATAAGGGTGGCTTGTTCCACAACACTCGAGCAATCGCTGTAAATCTGTGTGACAAATTGTGCACGGGCACATGCCACAATGATCGCCCACAACTCCGCTCCATATGCCGAGACATTCCAATGCTGCACTATGCCTTGATGTCGTATCTGCCGTGTCTCATCGAGGACAGCATAGGTGGCATGAGTGAGCCAGAAGATCTGAGGATGAACGACTGACCCATCAGTCCACAGTCGCTCAACATGTGCCCCGGAAAAGAAGGGGGCTAGGCCAATAGTGGCGACATCCGACATCTGTAGTCTTTTCCTGGCCAGGCAAGCCGGGTGTTGTACGTGACCAAGAGTAGCAAAATTGCTCCCAAACTCATGCAGCACCGGAGGTCCCAGAATATCATGAACTGCTGAACACTGAAGCAAATGTGGCATGCTCTCTTTCGCATTGTCGCAAAAGCGGCAATCGGCCGAAGTGACCCAACCTGACGAGGCAAGGCGGTCGTTTGTGGTGTACAACCAACTAGGATATTTTCCAGGCGAAAAAATCGATCTCTGTTGGAGGGCTCAGTCCACTTGCAAGAACGCAGCAACATGGTGGTTTGCTGAAAATCGAAAATGCCGCTTGGTTTATTGAAGTCCTTCCTGGACTTGGGGTCAATGGAATTTTAGCAGGCATTACGCACGATATTCTGCAGAGCTTTAGAGATGCATCTAGGCGAAAAGGAAAAGAGGGGAACAAAATGAGAGCCCAAAAAGGAAATGTTCAAAATGTTCGTCATATTGAATGCCTAACACATCAAAAGCAGCTTGGAGGCTGTTGGCAAGGGAATGATTCCCTTTGGAGTTCACCCAAGTTCCAAGAAGCTGGTCAGCTGCGGTAGTGTTGTTCCAGCATAGCCGAACTGTTTCGAGAATCGTGAGATAGGGGCCCGCAAAGCGGGGGTCCGTCCGGTGTGGCTGGGAAAGAATGCACTGCAACAAATGTTTCGACCTCCACATAGGCTGTCCGGTCCAGAGCGCTTTTGCAATGGAGTTCTGCAAGAGCCGCAGGGCTTGTTTTGGCACTTTTGAGATGTGAGCACCAAAGGTGACTTGGGGTATAATCTTGGCTCCAATCAAAAAGGCTTTGGTAGCCCGACCAACGGGAAGAGCTGCTATATTGTCGATGTCGGCCAAGACTTTCTTGAGCTTCTTGTCAGGGAACTGAAAGTGGGAGCGTTCAGATGTGTAGATCTTTGTACCTAACACATCGAGCTCAAGAACGACCGGAAACCCAGGAAAAGTGGATTTGATGTGTTTACGAGCTTGCGCTGAGGTACCCCACATGGAGGATTTGGCCTCATTGAGTTGCTGACCGCTAAGGAGGTCCCAGATTTTTGTAAGCTCGATCGCTTTCGAAAGGGTGGCAGCATGCTGGAGTCTACACCATAAATATGAGTCGTCGATATATGCTCGAACAAATATTTCCGGCAAGTGCTCGATCAAATGACACCAGACCTTGTTGTAGACGTTGATAGCTAAGAGAGACATAGAACAGCCCTGGCAAACCCCGTTTGCAGCCGTCGTGGCTTGGTTGGAAATCCAATTGCGGTAAGAAAGATGCCTGTGCAGGCCATCATAGATTTTAACGAAAAAGGAGACAACCCTTTGGGGAATGCCGAAGGCAAGGAAAAGCGCGGCCACAAAATTGGGGACGACACGGTCAAATGCCTTGGCTTTATCAAGTTTGATACCAATCAAGGTGTCACCCTCGATATTGGCGGCATCAATGTCTAACCTGACCTGGTTATAGAGATCGGACATGAATCTCCCTTTAATACCACCTAGAATAGATGGAGGCATGACCTGTTGTTGCCATTGTTGGAGTTGTGCGAACCTAGCTCCCGTGTAGGCCAACAGAATAGCTGGGAGAATGGTAATCAGTCTCTTGTTCATGGCCGTGGCTGGCCCAGGTTTATTAAGGATGACTTGCTTCGCGCAAACAAGCGACGCAGGTAGTTCAAGGTTGGACTCCTCAATCAAGGCAAAGAAGTCTGCGCACGGTTGCAGCTCGGCAGGAGTCAAGTGCTGATGCTCGGTGGTTCGCCACCCATCAAGGCCCGGCGCGGCCGTGGTCTTACGCTTTTGAATAATTTGGAACAAATCCTTTCCAGAGATCATGGGCACGTTCGCAGGGACTTGCTGATCTTGAATGTACGGCCACACAGTTTCCAACATCTTGAGGGGATGGTGCAAAAGCACATTAGCACTATAAACCTGATCCCACTCAGAGTTAAGGAAGGAAATGGCTTCATTTGGCTGAAACAAGATGTTCTGATCGTGGTCAACGACGAGGTTGGCAGGTTCCTCTTGCTGTTTGTTCTTTAAATGGTGAAAAATGTAGGCACAGCCGTGTGTGGCTGACGAACGAATTCGTTGTTTCCAACGTTTGATCCTGGACATCTTCAGCTGAAGTTCATGCGTTTTCGAAGCACTAATGACCCACTGCTTGGCGAAATGCACCTGCACCAAAGAGGGAGGGAGGTTCTCGGTCCATTGAACAGGGGCAGCCAAATCACGGAGTTGTTTAAGTGCTTTACCGGCCGTTTGTCTAGTGATGAAAACATCTTGAGCCGAGCCCTCCTGGCGTGAAAGGCGAATGAACAACTCATCAAGTCTACCAGAGAGCCGAGCGAGCAAAATGCCCTTACGACTGGCAGCGCAGTGGCTGGCTAATTGCTTGGGGGGCAACAGTTTTGGAAACGAACACCGGAGGTTTGCCGCGTTGGCGAGGGCCCTCCCCCCACGAAGCACCCTTCGCAAGGAGGGAGTGTGTGAGAAAGTCATTAACAACTGCCCACTTGTCATCTGCAGAATTGGCATCATCAAACTGCTGTTTATGGGAAGTCCCCCAGGAGGTCTCACAGGAATCAGGCCCCTCATCATTGAAGGATTCAAAAACAAGGGGTGCAGTCTTGAGAAGATGAAAGCCAACTTGATCAATGGAGGGCCAGTTGAACTCGAGTTTAATGGGTCTATGCTGTTTCCCGAAGACTTCAATAACCTCGGCATGCTTCAACGCAGCAAAAGCAATGTTGTTAACCAAAACAGAGTCAATTGAGGTGCACCCATCACCTGCACCACAAAAGGTGCCATCATTGCTAAAAGTGAGGGGTCTGACAATCTCACCGCTGGAGTCGACCGTGGCGATCGGGTCATGCCATGATTGGAATGAAACTGCAGAAGCGATAGCCGGGTACGACATGGGCGGAGCTTGCAGGTCTCCAGCCAACACAATTGGGATCTGGCCAAATTGGGCGACAAATGTGAAGATGTCATCAAGTAAACAATTGTTACGAACATGAACCTTAGGGTCTTGAGATGCACTAGTAGTGGCGTACACCGAAAGGATGAGAGCCTTTTTCCGGGGTGTAACCTGGGTCCAAGCGGCAACGACTCTTTTAGTTTTGAACATGATGGCATAGAGCCCTGTAGCATCATGAGCTGGATCGAATGCTTGAATCTATGTGGAGCCTCCAGCAATCAACGTGCCCCCGGGGGGGGGTCTTGGTAGATTTGGAGCCACTCCATAACCCAGGAAGGAGGTCGCCAAAACAAGGTGTGAACCCAACCCCTTGGAAGGTTTTGGTGGCAG